GACCTCTCCATGGAAGTCCACGTCCATTTGTTACCTCTTTACATCTTATTGTCCACCGTAATCCGGATACTCCTCAGGTACCTGAAATTCAACATGACTACATCTGAGCTAACTACTTTCCTTCCCTGGTTCTTACTTTCTCCTTTATTGCCTGAATGACATCATCATTTTCTAAGTCACTCAAGTTAGAAATTCAAGATTTTTCTTCCTTCTTATCCTCCAGATTCAAAGACTCAGCAAGCCCTGTTGAATCTACCTCTTAAAAATTTCTTGTATCTGTTTTCTCATTCTCATACCTACCATCATTCTGTTAATTAAGGTACTTGTAATTCTTCATCTGGATCAATGCAATAGACTTCTTATTGGCTCAGTCCTCATAACTGCTGCCTGATTGTTCAATGCTTCTCAATCCCTTTTGAGATAAAGCCCAACCCTTTGTTGCCAGACAAGACCCCTTCCCACCTCTCTAACTTCATGCAACCCTGTGCTTCAGCTATAGGGAACTGTCTGCAAGTCTGCCAAAACACCAGGCTGTGAACTACTGTTAGGCCCTGCCCTATACATTCTGCTTTTCTTTCCTGTTAATTCCAGCTCTAACCCTTACCCATTCTGAGAAGCTCTGACTGACTTCCCAGGTAAAGTGAAATGCCCTTGCTTTGGGCCCCAGCAGTACTTGTTACCTGATCTTGTGTTTGTAGTTTACTTCTCTATCTCCCCACTAAACTGTAAGCTCCTTGATGGAACAGGAAGACTGTGTCCCTCATTTCTGAATTACCAGCATCTAGCATAGTGCTTGGTACATAACAGATTCTAAAACATGCTAGCTGAATAAATAAATTTAAGTATAAACATGAGGTTTATTTTTGTGGATGAGTTCAGAAGCATTGGGTATGATAGCATCCCTTTCAATACAATAAATATATAAAATATAATATTCTTTTGCTATGTATCTGCCAAGTGATTCTTTGTAGAAATCTACAGAAAGAGTGAAACAATTGTTTCATACAAATCAAAGGCTAGCAATCACATGACAGTACCGAATATTGTGTTTTTATTAAAATATCCAAGCTAAGAGATATAAATTCTAGAGATTTTGAAATCTTCTGTTACTAACCACAAAATTTCCTTAAATGCCGTAGGTTCAACCCTTAGAAAACAATAAGGCAAATGCAGGATGTATCCATGAATCTTACAATGCTCTCCAAACACTTGTCAATGGCCAGGCTTAATTTTACTGGAACACGCTTACCTAGCTGATCATTCACGAAGGAGCAGCTCCAGCCAAGAAAGACCTCTATGTCTTACTCTGAGGTTTTCTTTTCCAAAAAGGAGCTAGCTAGCTAATTCATACACCTTCACATCATGCAAAGGTCCACAATGTCTTTGAATTTCCCACATGGAGAAACTGTGGCATTTAAATATGATGGTTATGGTCGAGGAATGAGTTCAGACATTGTTCTTGTTTTTGCAAACTTTCTTCTGAGGACCAACTGAGGTTATGTCAGAGGCATTTCTTCAGAGAGCCTAGCCATGAAGCAGTTACAGTTTTATTCATTTGCTCTGGGTGACTGTTCTTCTTGAATCCCAAGTCTACCGTGTTATCTGCTGTGGTAACCAGCAGGTTGGTGGATAGGCACAGCCCCGCTGGGATACTGGAACCACAGACAGCACAGGCTGAGCCATGCCCACCCTGCACAGCATCACCTGCACACTCTGCTCCTGATAGGGCCACCACTTAGGGCCTGACACATGTAAACACTTGGAAGCACAAGAAATGTTTGCTTTGTAACAGAAAAAAATCCCAATATTTCTCAGGATGCATAATGCCCAGAAACAGGCCAAGAAGAGCTCAGGGCAAGCCAACTATGTCTAAAAACTGAACTGGCAAGTAAACTCACCCCAGGTTTTGCATATGAAATCATTTGCCACTAATGGACTAGCTCTTGCAGAAGTTAGATGTAGGTGTGAGGGAAGTCAGTAAAGAATTTGAGTTCTTATTCAAATTTCAAACTACTCTGACCCTTACCCAACTCCTGTGCTTTACTTGGAGGATGAAAATAATAGCACTTGTAGGACTGATTGCTAATAACAGGCTGCATAATAGATTACAAAGGGGTTTTGTATCTCAGGTAAACTACTAACTCTCACAGGCTCACATTGAAGCACAGAAAGGTATGTCTCAACTTCTCTCCCATTTCATTAAACAAATGTGTGTGTGTGTATAGGTATGTATATATATCATTCACATTCACACACAAACACACACACACACAAACACACCCTGGGATTAACTCCTTAGCCAATTAAGAATGCAGCCTTAGCAGTATAAAAAATACTCTTTTCTCATGTAATTTTAGTTAACAACCAAAACAAAACAGGGCAAGTCTAGCAAACATCAATCTGGTTCTTTGTTACACTTTCTGAAATGCAGCAGTGTAGAATAAGCACCGGCTCCACACCAGCCACAGTGGACTCCTTGTTTTTCCTTAAAAGACCGAGCCCAGGGCCTTTGCATCTGCTCTTCCTTCTGCCCAAACTTCCTCTCTCCAGGTATCCATGTGGTTTGCTCTTTCTCTTTCTTCAGGCTGTCCCTAACAACAAGATGTTGTTTCCTGACCATCCAATATAAGGTGAAATTTCCTTCCCCTGTCACTGCAACTTTCTTCCCTTGCTTTATTTTATTCAAAGCACATTTCACTCTCTGAATAATACATATTGACATGGTCTTAGTCTCTCACCCTCCCCCACCAGAATATAAGATCTGTAAGGGAAGGAGCTGCATCTGTTTTATTCACTGTTATAATTTTAGCACCCAGAACAATGCCTAGCATGTGATAGGTGTTTAAGGAATATTCAATAAATAAATAAATAAATTCTGTTGCAATTTAACTTACTCTGTGTTATATAAAACTGTGTCAACTTAGCAAGTAAATTAATGTCAAATAATATCTACATTAGCAAGTGCTTACAACAGTACCGCTCTGCTGATGAACTTTGACAAGCTATGGGCCATGCTAAATGAAAGGTCAAGTTTGACTGTCTCCGAAAACATTTCATTTTCTCCACTGCTCTGGGTGGGTAACCTTGTGATGACCAAGGGTGATATGCCTGCTGGACGATTTGTCCAATCCCTAGTTCTCTAAATTTGATTAAACTCTCCCTACTTCAACCAGAAAGAGAGTCAGCTCAGTGGACTGGCAGCTGAGAGATCTGGGGTGCCTCTTACCCAAACACTGCATTCGATGGCCAAGCACAAACGTGGGAACTGTCTGTGTGGGAGACCAGGTAGAGCCAGGGCAGCAAGTACAGAATTAGCCATTAAAGCCAAGGATGCCCAAAGTAAGGAGAGACAGAGCATCACGGAAATGGCCTGGGTGGGTTCTGGTCTTGGACTGACACTTTCCAGGTGACTGGAGTGGGCCTACATGGGCAGGTTAGATGCATGTGAAAGGAGCTCATGAACATCACCTTGGCGCCTTGGCCCTGCAAACCGTAGGCATTCTGGTTTGTAAATGATGTTCTTTCTGGTTAGACTGAAAACAACTTCTATTTCCCCACATTATGAGTGAAATACTTCAAATGAATTTGACCTTTTAAAAATCATCAGGCAGACAACTTGAAAGGCCTTTTGTGATCAATGTGGTACAGCCAGAGGAACATTTAAGACTCGGCTGGTGAAACAGAAAACTTAGCAGTGGGCAGCATTGATCTTGTTAATATTTCTAGCTAATAAGAGTCTCACTTTATACATGCTAGCTAGACCTTTATCTATGTGTAGCTAAAGGATATCACTGTTAGCTCTAGGACAACAATGGTACTGTTCTGTCCCGTTAGATATTTTTATTAATGATTTGGATAAAGCCAGAGGTGTCATACTTATCACATTTAGGAATAAAGTGAAGGATGAGGGCACTAAATATAACCAATAACAGCCAGGATCTCTTCTATAAATGGTTGGGGTAGGGTGGAATAATAGGTCAGATATATTAAAAATAATGTTTTATTTCAGGGTAAATGCCAAAGTGCATACCCCACCAAAAAAATAACCTATCAAGATTAGGATGTATCCTCTATTATTTATCTGTTTATTCACTTTATAGTACATCTTACAATTTATAATTATATATTTCTTTGTTCACTTGTTCACTGACAGCCTTAATATATGTTAAGTTCCAAGAGACAGGGACAATTTCTACTTGGTTTCTGGCTGTGTCCCCAGTGTGACTAGCCAAAAGAATAAATTATGCAAAGGATAGGGGAACACAAGACTAAAAAAAACAGGCTGTGTAAAGACTTGGGATTTCTCATAGACTGCAAGCTCAGTATCAGTCAACCATGCTGGGACTATCAAGCATAACCTAGATGTCTAGAACATGGGATGGGATCATCTTGCCTGGTTATGTCCATGGAATTATCCTCCCACTTCAGTGGGTTCCAACAGACAAGGGATACATGTTAGGGGCTGACTTGTGCCCCCCAAATCCATATGTTGAAGTCCTAACCCTCAGTCCTCAGAATGTGACTGTATCTGGAGACAGGGCTTTTAAAATAACAACTAAGATAAAACAAGGTCAGTAGGGTGGGCCCAATCCAATATGACTAGTGTCCTTTTAAGAAGATTAACGGCCGGGCATTGTGGCTCACTCCTGTAAATCTCAGCATGTTGGGAGGCTGAGGCAGGCGGATGAACTGAGGTCAAGAGTATGAGACCAGTCTGGCCAACATAGTGAAACCCGTGGGCGCCTGTAATCCCAGCTATTCAGGAAGCTGAGGCACGAGAATGGCTTGAACCTAGGAGGAGGAGGAGGTTGTAGTGAGCCGAGATCGCACCACTCCACTCCAGTCTGGGTGACAGCGCAAGACTCGGTCTCAAAACACACACACACACACACACACACACAGGGAAAAGAAGATTATCACACAGACACATACAAAGAGCACGGGAGGACACAGGGAGAAGACAGCAATCTATAAGGCAAGGAGAGAGGCCTCAGGCCTCAGAAAGAACCAACCCTGCCAGCACCTTGATCTGGGACTTCTAGCCTTCAGAAATGTGAGAAAACAAATGTGTGTTGTTGAAGCCAAACCACCTGCGGTACCTTGTTATGGCAGCCCTAGCAAACTGATACATAGGAACAACTATTTCACCAACCAGTAGCGTACAGTTTCAAAACGAGGTGACTTGAGGGGGCAACAAATACTTTCTTCAAACACCTAAACAATCATTATGTGGAAGGAAATATAAGGAAAAGCTTTCTGACAAAATGACACATCTGAAAATGGAATAAACTTGATCTATAATTTACTTATTTATTGAATATATTGTTTACTGTCTGACTCTTCTGCCTAGGTGTAAGCTCTACCAGATCAGACACAGTAAACAGGTGCTCAGTAAATATGTTGAGTGGATCAGTTTCCTCTGGAAGTAATGGTCTTTCTGTCATGGGAGGTATTTAAGCAGAAGCTGAACACGTCTGCCACGAGGATGTTATCGAGAAGCTTCATGCACAGGGCACATGGTTAGGTTGCTTCAAGGTCCTTTTTCAATGTTGAAATGTTCTTAACCTGGTTTTACTTCTACTAATGAATCAAACATAGGCATTCCTCAGAAAAGGTCTACATGTTCATAGAACATGTTCACAGATCTCAGAGAAAAGGTCTACATTTTTTCTCATCTAAAGATTCTATCAAAGTTATCAGGGCCATACACTTATATTTTGCCTTTTCCCAACCTTAATGTGTTATCCGTCCACTGTACCTTCTAATACTTGAGAAAAAATAAATTTTAAGTAAAATTTACTATATATATTGTTTTCTTAAAGCCAACTCATTTCAGTTTATTTATTTTTTTATAGGAGATAGATGTTTCTTCTGGTTCCATTTCTGTTTCTTAGGTCTGTTTAATTTACAGCGTGAGCTCCAAGAGCTGAAGACTGTGGAGTCTTAATAAATGTCTAAGATGAATAATTAATAATGTTAAAAATTATCATCATCTTCCTATACTCCCAAGAGTAGTGGCAGATGGTGAATTCTGGCTGTGCCTAATTCTAGCTGTGCCTGTGGCTGCCCATATATCTTTCAATAAGCCAGCATTCAAAGAACAGAATGAAACTCACAGGAATCTCATGAATTCTACTGTTGTTATTCCAAAGGTTCTTTTGGCACAGACCCTGAGCCAGCAGATGAGCTGTATACTTTCTCACAGCAATTCAGTTTAAAAAAAAAAAAAAATCACCAGACGACCTTACAGCAGTTTTTTTTTTTTTTTTTTTTTTTTAAATAGGTCTGTCCTTGAATACAAAAGAGTAAGAAAGACAGGACACCCTCCAACTTCCACTCCAATGAAGAATGTGAGTTCCAATGTTAATGCTAAGATTTTAGGTTTTTCGCATAGCTCTGAAATACTGAGCATTATAATGTTCAGGTAATTAAAAAGCACAAACATTTCTGGTAAATACAATTTCTGTTTCATAATTCACTTTGGCAGATGTTTAACATTTGCTTGCTCCTGCAAACTTTATTTTCAACTTGCTAAAATTCTGCCATGTGCCAAGAGCAATACTACATATGGGTCTATTATGGCAACTTCTGCAACCCAACATATGTCTAGGTTTGCAGTACCTTTGTTCATATTAGTTGTGCCTCCAAAACATTTATTGTCACTCTAAATAGAACCAAAGAAACCATTAACATTGGTTGACAACTAGATTTGGAAACTTGGCTATGAAATAGATGGTAATAAATCAAACACGTTTACAATTCCGGGAAGCAGTGATCAATAGTAAAAGGCAAACTGTGTTGAATAAATCCTAATAGTCAAATTTCCCACCCAAGTTCCACAGCCTGCACTGTGAGCATGAAGGCATTGGGAAAAATTCATAGCAAACAAAGTGGAGTTGCTAGGAACAGGGTTATCTGTTCCATCTTTACCTTCATCATTGGGCAGGCAGCTCTAGGCAGGGCTGGTACTACACGAAATGTTACTTAAGGCTCTGGGTCTCAAGCAAGGTTCATTATTCTCTCCAGTGATTTCCAAATTGTTATATAAATCATTTATATTTATATTTATTTATTTATTTATTTTTGAGACAGGGTCTCGCTCTTTCACCCAGGCTGGAGTGCAGAAGCATGATCATAGCTCATTGCAGTCTCAACCTCCTGGGCTCAAGCAATCCTCACATCTCAGTCTCCCAAGGAGCTGGGACTACAGGCATGTGCCACCATGCCTGGTTAATTTTTTTTCAAAATTTTTTTATAGCAACCGGGTCTCACTATGCTGACCAGGCTGGTCTCAAACTTCTGGCCTTGAGTGATCGTCCCGCCTCAGCCTCCCGAAATGCTGGAATTACAGGCATGAGTCACTGCACCCAGTCATAAATCATTTTTAAAGGGGGATTTGAAGGAAGGGGTTATCCTGCACATTGCAAAGGATTGAAGCAGCACTAGCATGGTGAAACCACACCTGATTTGGATTCAGAGGATCTGTGGTCAAGTCCAATCTCACTAATGAACCAGTTGGAAACTCTGAGCTAGTCACTCAAGTTCCCTGTACTTCAGTTCCCGCTCATATAAACATAAGAACATGAATAATACACACCACTGAAGACTGTAGTGAAGATAGAGACAGTATAAATGTGTAGCATCATGTGGGCATCATAATTATAACATCATTATACTAATGGTAGTATTTAGTGCATGATTGCTAGGTATCAGCAGTCACTGTGCTGAGTACTTTTCATGCATTATCTCACTTCATCCTCATAACTCTACAAGTATTTTATCTCTGTTTTATAGATTAAGAAACTGAAGTTTAGAGAATCCAAGGTCACTCCTAATAAATACTTGCCTGATATGATGTAATTTTTATGAGCTTTAATGGTTCTATGACTCAACACAAATTGTACCTAATCTTAAAGGAGTTAAATATCTTATTTTAATCCAATAAGAGACCTAACATCCATCAAGTGCCTTCTTTGTGCCACACAACAGGTTGTTATGACAATCCACAGACCTGTAGTGTGTTTATGGATAAGGTATTGCCTCCACTTTAAAGATGGGAAAACTGAAGTTCATTGCAGTCAAGTTACTGCCCAAGATGTCACAGCAGTAAGTGACTCCTGATTCTAATTCAGGCTTAGCTCTCCACATGGCCTTCCTTTACCTCCATATTCTCATCTATTCTAACTTGAGTTCACTGAATAAAGGCAATAAAAAAATCATAAAATAGAATAGTAAAAAGATAGAGTAAAAAAAAAAAAAAAAAGATAACATTTTCTCTTATCTAAACCTTGCTTTTTGATACTTGCATGACTACTAAGCATTCAATCCAAAATCTGGCCGTGAACATTTTATTTTTACTGACACAAATAAGTAAAATAAAAAACAAGCCTCTGAAGAGAATTTTTTTTTTAAAGGTATAACATAAGATTAACATCAGATCTTTTAAAGTTAATTTTGGCCAAAACAATCTTTGAGTTTGGCCCTCACTCTTCCGACCACCTTTCCTTATATTTTTCCCCAATAGTCATACTCTTCCTCCTCCAACCCACTATCAACCCTGGCCACTGCCCTGCTGCCTGCCTTCCACACCTATCATGTTAATTGCCACCTCTAAAGCTTTGTTACATTTTTCTCCCTTTGCTGAGGATGTGGTCCTCTTCACCAGTTCAAATTCCACCCATCACTTAAGATGAGCTCAAGTCCTATCATTCCATGAGCCTTCTGACTATCCTGATGAGTCATTATAATCCCTTCCTTGGACTCTTACTGTATCTGTCAACATCACTATTCCACCTGGCACTTAGTTATTAGCTTTAATGGTTCTAGATGTTAGTCCATCACTCCAAATGGATGACAACACCCCAGGGGATGGAGACTGTCTTTATTGTTTTTCTCTGCCCTATTGTACCAAGAAGCTCTCAATAGTTTTGTAACAATGGAAAAGAATAATTTTCTTTAAAGGAGAAAAAAACACAGAGTCTGTACATGTTGCTGGCATCTCTTTTCTTACATGTTATTTTTAAATGGTATTAATAAAAATTTCAACACACAAAGAAAGATAACCTGCTCCAAATAGGCATAGATCACTGGCTATTTTCCAGGTTTGTACAATCCAGCATTTAATAGCTTAAGAGTAATATTTTAACAATGAAGTTTGATAACAGTGGTATGTATTACTAATTAATGATATCAGTTCCTTTGAAAATAGAGGAGATTGTTCATGAGTTTTTATTTATTCAACAGACCAATCACCAATATATTGCCTGACACTGTGTTGGTCCCCTTGACACAGTAAGATACATCTTGGCCCTTGATAGGCTTATGATCTAGTAGCAAGACAAATGATGATCATTCAATATGAAGGTGGCTATAACATAGATTTCTACAATAATTATACTCCTTAATAAAGCAAAATCACATTCATTACAAAGCATCCTCAATGTTCTATAATAGTGTTTCTCACTGTGTAGGCTTTTTCAAAATTTGTGGGGTGGTTTTGTCATCCTAGTGATGGGGGAGGGTACTACTGACATTCCATGAGCAGAAGGCAGAACCTGCTTGATGCCCTGCAAAGTGTGGCGCTCTCCTGCACAATGAAAAATTGTCCCACGTCTCACCTGACTTTCAAATGCTCCCCCTTGTCATCCTTGGAGATAAAAAACTTACAATGATCTAAGTCTGGAATCTATCTGTTTTACATATAAAGAAAATATTTTTGCCCAAGTTTAATATCTTTAATATTTTTGACGCATGCATTAGCATATAAGTTGAGGAAAAACTGTACTTGGTGTGTTCAAAGCTTTAACAGCAATTGACCATCAATTTGGGAAATTATAACACTGGGAAATTATATAGGGGAAATTATACTTTGGGAAATTATATAGGGCCTCACCTGGCCCACACCTGGCCCATACCTGTGACATTCTGCCTGGGGCTGAGGGGGTGGTGCATCCGTGGTGGCTGTGCGAGAGGTGCACACATCCTACTATTTCAGCATGCCTCCCATGTAATGGCGCCAGAGTACTGATGGGTTGAAATTCAGAGTAGTTTACCGTGGATTACTGTTCTTACCTTTCTCTTGTATCCTAAAGATAGGGATTTAAATATATATATATACACACATATATATATATTTTAAAAAGTTATATGTATAGGTGAGTTGTATTATCTTTGATTTTCACTTCAAGACAGTAAATGAGGCATGACTAATTGTTACAAAAAAAGGAGCTAGGTCTAATAGGTTGAAAATATGTAGCTCTAGGTTCTTCAAAGAAATTTAAAGATAAAGTTCCTAAAGAAGCTATTACAGTCAGCTTGAGAGGGATGAAAAAATTCAATCAAGAGAGGAGTCAGGGAATAAGAAGATATGATAATTGATACTATTAAGACACATTTATTAAACAATGGAAACCCAAACAGGCTTAAAATATATCTTTGCCTTCAAGAGTTTGCAACACAACTCTTGAAGGCAAATATATAACCGAATATGCAAATACTATATGTAGTTTCTTGCAAATTAAAAGTAATCTGACACTAAAAACCTGAATTTAATAGAGAAGGTATTCCCATTTCATTTAATTCCCAGGAGACAACTCTGATGGGCCACCAGGCACATTGCAAGAAAGAGGCAATAACATTTAAGAAACAGATTAACTGAGGCAGAAAGGTGCTAAGGGGATAACTGAATTGATTCATCATATCAATATCAAAACTAAAATCATATTAATATATACTCAGTAAATATAATATAGATTCATTTTGGGTGCTTCCACAATTATATTTTTAAACAATTTTACGATAAGTATAAATAAAAATCCCAAGCATTTGAAAGGGAAACTGTTTGTTTTAAATAAAGGCTCTGCATATTTGTTGTTTTGAGGTACATCATCTTGGACTTCAGGATCAATATATGATGTTAGCATAGGGAAGTTTAAGCAAGTATTGAGTCACACTGAAACTCATGGCACTTTAATAAGACTAAATAACACACTGGCTAGGCTATAAAATCTGAACACAAAACACAGTCAAAAAATTATTTTATTGGGAAGGAAAACTCTAACCCACAAAAGTGGTTCTTTTGATGTATCACCAGCTAAAAGAGACTTTTGTTCACAAATATTATTTTGTACGCAATATTAACCCTATTTGTAGAATATAAGATGTCTCTTTTTTGAGAGACTAATACAATTTTGATTCCTTCCTTGGGGAAAAAAGATGTGACTGAGTTAGAGAGGTGATCCATCCTAACTGGTCGTCATTTTTTATCTCTTTACTGCATAGGTTTGGGCTGCTTCAGGACTGGGAGCATCCCGGCCTGCAGTGACACTGCATTCTTCTTGTTGCTGCTGAGTGGAGCTACTCAGCAACCTCAATCTATGCAACTAGGCCACTCGGTCCTGGACCTGCCATGACACTCAAGGACTTTTAGGCAATGCGATCTGATTTACTGTGTTCTTAAAGTGTTATTATAACTGAACCATGTAACCTACATTCTTGAACATTCTGGAAGAAAAACTGGCCTACAAGGGAGTGCTTATTATTATGCCCAGATAAGGTAATCATAAAAGCCAGGAAGGATGTTTCCTCCTGACTTCTGCTCTTAAAAGAATCTCTTCTACATGATCAAGAATTTATCTCAAAACGTTCCCATATAGTAGGCTGAACAAGGATGTCAGCGCAGCCCTAGCAGTAGAGATTCCCAGCTAAATTCGATCTTCGTGCCAAGCAAGAAAGCTCTCTAGGATTGTTTTTAATGGTGTACTTCCCTGCTCCTCCACAGGAAACACAAAACTGGGAAAGTATCTGTCAGGAAACAAAATAGAATCTGGATATTTTTAAAAGAATCTAAAAGTAATTCTTTTTTTGAAAGCCCCAACCATGGCAAGGACATAAAAGTAATTATTTTTCAGAACAGGACAACGTAATTTTCAAGGAAAAATATAATTTAGGCCTCATTTTTTATTAAAGCAGAATTATAAGATATAATTACACTAACAATAACATCTGGTTTGAGGTAATGCATTATAGTTTAACAAGCACATGACTGTATATTATCTCATTTAAGATTCATAATTTCCCATAGGAGTTTTCAGCAGCGAAAAAATTAGACCCATTCTACCAATTAAGAAACTGAGGCTTTGAAAAACCAATTCTGCCACCGAAATGGGCAGAAGGCAGACATCAAGGTGAAAGTTCATCTCATACAAGTGAAGGGCCAATGACCACCCTTTCAGAGTGCTAGCCTGTGACACGCTCCCATCATACTGTCAAAGGCACGTGGGGGCTCCAGGCACAGACTCAGGCGAGCACACGCTTCCTGAGAGGTACAGTGGTGAGTGGCACCAAAGTACAGGGCCTGGAGCCTGGACCCCAGGTGGGAATCCTGCTAGGCTACAGCCTCGCCATTTGACTGGGAAGGTTACTGTACCCTCTGAGCATCAACTTTGTTTCTTTTTCTTTTTGTTACTTTTATTTCGCCATTGACTGGGAAGGTTACTGTACCCTCTGAGCATCAACTTTGTTTCTTTTTCTTTTTGTTACTTTTATTTTAGGTTCCGGGGTACACGTGGAGGTTTGTTATATAGGTAAATTCATGTCACGAGGGTTTGTTGTACAGATTATTTCATCACCCAGGAATTAAGCCCCGTATTCAGTAGTTTATTTTCTGCTCCTCTCCCTCCTCCTACCCTCTGCCGTCAAGTAGACCCCAGTGTCTGTAGTTTCCTTCTTTGTGTTCATAAGTTCTCATCGTTAGCTCCTGCGTGTAAGTAAGAAAATGCAGTATTTGGTTTTCTGTTCCTGCGTTAGTTTGCTGAGAATAAGAGCCTCCAGCTCCATCCATGTTCCCATGAAGGACATGATCTCGGTTTTTTTTATGGCTGCACAGTATTCCACGGTATATATGGAATACTATGCATTTTCTTTTATCTTTATCATTTTTTCTTTCATTTTCTTGTCTTTTTATCTTTATCATTCTCTTTATCCCGTCTGTCACTGATGGACATTTAGTTGATTCCATGTCTTTGCTATTGTGAATAGTGCTGCAATGAACATATGCATACATGTGTCTTTATGGCAGAATGATTTATATTCCTCTGGGTATGTACCCAGTAATGGGATTGTTGGGTTGAATGGTGGTTCTGCTTTTAGCTCTTTGAGGATTGCCCTACTGCTTTCCAGGGGCTCACCTTTCTATAAAGTGGGGTATAGCAATAATATCTATGTCAATGGGTCAATGTCAGGGTTATAAAACATACAGTAAAAACTCGAAAATGCCATAGATTATTGTTACACCTTTGCAAGTAGTAGAAAGCTCTCTCATTACCAAATTTATTTCTAATATAAAAAATAAACTGACTCAGGCCTGTCATGGCTGAGCAGAAACAAGGATTTCGGGGGAAATGGTCTGATTATAAATTAGATTAAGAAGGGACAGGTGTATGCACAGATGATGGAGTTTTACACTACTTTATGCATTTATGTTCTGGACACAGGCCGAGACTTACTGGCAAAGGGAAATCAGTGTTCGCTCAAAGAACAGGTCTCTACCATAGAGCAAGCCAGCAGAGGGAAAGGCCTGGGGTCTGAGGGGTAGTCAGAGATCCTGGCTTCCCTTGCATCACTGAGGCATGCCTGCGACAGACTTCACATCTTCCTCAGCCCTTGACAAATTGATTTAGTGAATGCATTAGATACTTGCGCAGATTTAAACAAAACAATGTTTCTGCTACTTCTTCATATTCTAATGCCCTTTTTGAGATCCCAGCTTCTGGGAATAACTCTCAAGACCAACTTTCTCATAAACCATGGTTAAAAAAAAAATCATTTCACCTATAATTTACCTTTTGCATTTTTTGTGTTTTTAAAAAATCTGAAACATCCCATCTAATATTAAGTTGTTGAAATTTTGGTGATTTCTGCATAGAGATTATATGAATTAAAAAATAAACTTTTAAAGTTTAAAAAAGTTTAAATAAAAATAAACTTTTAAACTTGTGTAGTCTATATTTTCTTCAGTGGCATTGGTTATAAGGCTATAGGCAGTTACTTCTATGGAATTTAGGTAATTAGAGTCTAGTGCTAAAAAAGTACACATGTGGCCAGGCCCAGTGGCTCACGCCTGTAATCCCAGCACTTTGGGAGATCGAGGTGGGTGGATCACTTGAGGTCAGGAGTTCAAGACCAGCCTGACCAACATGGTAAAACCCTGTCTCTACTAAAAATTCAAAAATTAGCTGGGCGTGGTAGTGTGCTCCTGTAATCCCAGCTACTTGGGAGGCTGAGGCATGAGAATCACTTGAACCTGGGAGGCGGAGGTTGCAGTGAGCTGAGGCTGCACCATTGTACTCCAGCCTGGGTGGCAGAGTGAGACTCTGGACATAGACGGAAAAAAAAAAGCACACATGAACATGCATTCCCTCACATCGGAGCTCACTTCCCCACCACAGATAATAAGCATAAATTCAGAGTTGTCTCTAAGTCTGTGTCCTACATCCTGCAGGAGAGCTCTCCACGGCAAGGGTTGTCTTTTGCAAGTCATTTATATTCTAATAGCACCAGCAGTAGTTCCGGACTCAAACCTCCTGCAGTGGCTCTGCCCCCTCATGCCAAGTTCCTGACTGTATCTAAAGTTCATGTATTTGCCCCAGTGAGGAACACTAGCCATGGTCCAGGTCCTGAGAGCCAAGCCTCACAGAATCCTTGGCAACAAAGACTTCCACCACTACCCGTTGGACCCTAAAAATGGCTGAGATGTCAGTGTCAGCGTTTTGGTTTTTGCTTTGGCTCATGCCATCCACCCCAGTTCTCGAGGGCACCAAAACACACTGCTGAAGCTGGAAAGCAAGCACTTCACTTCCCTGACAGAACAAGTGGGCCACGGGAGGTGACAAAACCATCACAGGGCGCTGTCACCACCACCTGCCTGCACTGATGATAAACCCCTTCCAAAGCTAATCAGTTGCTCACTCTTTTGGAAGAGTTGAATTCCTCCAGATTGCTCCAGGCTTCCAAATCTCCCAGGGATTGTACAATGCACAGGTCTCAGTCCCAAGCAGCCCCCAGCCTCAGGGAGCTTTATCTTCTCTCCAGCTGGGTAGATGACACCTAGTGGTAGCAATTAATAAAATTCCCCAAAGGAGAAGGATGTTTGAGGTCACTGACCAGTGGCGGAGGTGAATTTCAAACTCCAGTTCAATGAATCTGCGCTCATTCCAACCCTTCACTCTGTCCATAAGAGATATGATCCCTAAAGGGCTTTATATTTGCAATGCATTTTCTTATACATGATATTCTAGGCATCTAACAATAATCCTATGAGGTGACAGTTATTACACAACAACATATTGTGAAAAAATCTCCTTGATACTTTCACTTTGTCTTTATAAGAAACGATGCAGTAGGTAGAAATTATCAAATTGCTCCCTGAATATGTCCTGCCCTAATCCCTGGAATATGATGAAATATCATCCCAGGATCATTTTAGACAGCACAAATGATCTTGAAATAAGGAGAGTATCCAGGTGGGTGTGATCTAATCACACAAGCCCTTAAAGGCAGAGAGCTTTCTCTGGTTGGTGGCAGAAGAAGGAAACAGGGAGACCTGAAGCATTAAGGTCACTGCCGGCTTAAAGGTAGAGGGGCCACATGGAAGAAAGGCAGGCAGCCCCAGGAGCTGTCCTATGACTGTTTGTGTCCCTCCTCTCCTAATTTATATGTTGAAACCCTAACCTCCAATGTGATGATATTGTCAGACAGAGTCTTTGAGGCAATTACGGTAGGATGAGGTCATGAGGTTGGGATCCTGGTTTGGTGGGATTAGTTCTCTTAGAAGAGATACCAGATAGCTCTCTTGCTCCCCCAACCCCTCCAATGTGAGGACACAGTCAGAAGGTATCTACAAGCCAGGAGGAACATCCTCACCATAATGTGACCATGCAGGCACCTGGATCATAGACATCCAGTCTCCAGAACTGTGAAATAATAAATGCCTGTTGTTTAAACCACCCAGTCTGTGGTATTCTGTTATCACTTGAGCACACTAAGACAAGCTACAGCCAACGAAGAAAGAGGGACCTCGGTCCCACAACTGTAAAGGTATGGATTCCTCCAGTCTTGAAAGAGTCTGGAAATGGATTCTTCCCCGCAGCCTCCAGGTAAGGGCCCGGCTGGACCAAAGCCTTCATTTTGGCCTTGTGGGACCTTGAGCAGAGGATCAAATTTTAACCCATGCCTGGGTTCCTGACCCAAAGAAAACTGTGAGATAACAAGTGGATGTTGTTTTAAGTGGCTACATTAGTGGTGATTTGTCACCAATAATAGAAAACGAAAGCCCTAGAATCAGGGCTCCATCCTTTCAGACACACATGTGTGCGCGCACACACACACACCCCATCTTATCCTGGTGTTAAAGAGCTACTCTGAGCTAGTTATCACATTTCCCTCCTTTCTGGTTATTCCAGTGGCCACTCACCTACTTCCTGCTCTCTCATTATCTTTATCTGCATTCTTATCTGGCTTCCCTCCTCCAGTCTCCCCACCCTTTTCTCTAATCCTAGCCAATGCTGCCAGATTCCATTTCTTAACATAGTTCCAAACACCATTCTCTGGAATAATGCTGCTAAGAATAAAAGTTTTCACCAGTCCAGGGTATTAAGAAAAATAAAATAAAATAAGGACAATGCTGTGGGTTTATATATATATATATATATAGCTAAATATTTTACATTTGAAGAACTTTTTTTCTAACTATCCATGGTAAGATGATCTTTTTCTATGAAATGATTATGGTTGTAGTAGGCTGCAGCACAAATGGTCACAAATTTGTTTCTGTTTTTGTGTCTCTTTGTAATGTGATGTAGTAGCTCCTTTTGTCAAGAAGAGGAATCTATTCATCTACCTCTTGAATCTAGGCTGCCTTTGTTACTTGCTTTGACCAATGCAACATTAGTAAAGGTGAGGTAAGGGCTTGAAAAGCGCTTGTGCCCTGAAATTTTCTCTCTTGCCGCTGGGAACCCTTGACCGTCATGTGAACAAGCGCTGGCTGGCCGGCCTCTTGAGATCACAAACCATGTGAAGACATGCTCCAGCCAACCTGG